TGCTAAAGGATAGAGCATCAACTTCCTGAGCTCGGATTCACAGGGCTTGCTCTTAAATTACAGCTAAATAAAACACAATGAACAAGTAACTTCCATGAAAATCCAAAACCCTGAGTCTTAAGAGCTTTGTTTAGGATTAGAGACATCGACCACCACAGCAAGCATGCACATCTACAGATATTTGCCCAGCACCGTCAGAGAAAAATGTGAAATTACTATTGCAATTGAAAGGAATGAGAAATACAGAACAGCATGCCACGATAATCTATTAGAGAATGCCTTCCAAAGAGGGAATTCCAACTTCCCTAATCAATAGACTGCATGCCTCTTCCAAGGAGAAAATATTTCAGAAATCGTGACCACAAACATGCAGGGAATTGGCAGTGGCATACGGAGCATGAATACTATTTCAACTCTTTCGCTTTAATTTGCCTGAATCTTAAGACTTCACCTTAAATTAAGTGTAACAAAGCTTGTGATTTTGAATGCTACATCCTACAGAAGTCTGCATTTACTAAAGCATCTCACTTCATCCAAAAAATGAAATTCGGCAAAAGCTTGAATAGATCATACAGCTGATGGAGAAATAAATATCATCTTCAGTGAAACAGATTTCTAAACTTGGCTCTGTTCTACTTTGAATACTCTGAATTATCTCGCCAACATTTTCACCATCAAAGCAGCTGAAATCAACACTTGAATACAGTATTCTGACAAAACTGCAGTTGCATAGGTAACTTTTCATTAACAAATTCAGCTAATTGATGCCTGAAACAGTCCAATTCTGTTGAGTCATCTTTCATCAAAAGCTTTGCAATTTCTACCCAAATTGCCCTGATAGCTGCAAGATACTGGGGAGGTTGTATCATTCAGAGGATGTTTAACAGGAAAAAAGCAAAGAGAATCTGCATGGTGGGAGGAACAAGGAAAAAGAGAGGGAGGAGAGGGAAGCATGTTCAAAACACATACAAGGCCAGGAGGGTGGAGATGGAGGCACAGTGCTAAGACCAGCAGGTCATGGAAAAATTCCTGAGACCTCATACCTGGAGCCAATACACTCGAGCAGCACCAGGGGCTGATCAAAGCACGAGCATCATCAAATACGTTTTATTTTCAATGGCTAGTGCTAATCACCTTGGGTTCAATCTTAGTGAGATGCCAAGACCTGCCAAAGCTGATGAGAAACGACGGTACACAGCATCTCTCTGGCTGCTCTGCATTCAACAGCACTGCGCACCCACAAAGGCAACATCCAAACAACTAAAAGCTTACAACAAAAGCACCGTAAAGGTATTTGCAAAGACCAGTACATCATTGCCCTAAGCAATGCTCTAGGACAAAAGCACTAACTGCAGCATTGTAGAAACAGAAGGAAAACGCACAGCAGCACAGTGAACAACCAGCAACTGGAGAAAGCCTGAAGCCACAGCCAGGACAAAGCACAAAGCACGCAGTGGAGATGTTTCAAGATGCAGCTCACTAATCCAGTCTTCTGCAGGAAAAATAACGTTTCAAAGCCCCGTTGTGGCTCCGTTCTCCTTGCACTTTTTTCACCAATGTCAGTAAGTCTTCTCACCAGCACAGATTTTAGGTCAGCAGCCTCCAGCTGAGCTTTACAGTGCCTCCCTATTCTCTTGCACCTTTCAAGCCTACACACAGCTCTTTCAAAACCTGGGTGCACCTGATTCTGACAGACTCAGCCTGTCTAGTTTTAAGCAATACCCCCCCAGAAAATACAACACAGCTTCTTCAGACCTTCCAGCAACCTGTTTTAACACTGATATTTAGATACAATTATAAATGCTCAAAAGGAGAAAAACATCAGGGGAATATCTCAGAGTCAGTCAGTTCTGGTGGAAGGGCTACCTCAAGGGAGAACAGACTTCAGACACCTGGCCCTCATTCTGTGGTCTGTGTTGCAACACCTGTGGGGAAAAGAACTATAGGAAGCTGCAAGAAGCTCTCGAGGGGCCATGAAACACCCAAGCATATCTATATAAGGAACAAGCAGACTGCTGCATTGTAAATGCTGACATCCACTGGACACTCCTCCAAGTTTTCAATTCATTCCGCTGGTGCAGCAGTCCACCACCCTCTATTCCTCTCTTCACTCGTATGCCAAACACTGAGACAGGTGGGAGCCTGCATCCTCTGACAGCCCAAAGACACTGTATCACGTATCACTGTGTCCAGACTATGCTGTCTGCTTTCAAATCTAAAGATCTGAGTCAAAACTGCATGAAACACTGCTCTTTCTTAACATCAAAGTTCAAGGTGGAAGAAGAAGTGCAAAATAAAAAGAAGTATAGTAATCCCTAAGTTGTTAAACAGGAGTTTTTCCTATTTCCTCATTAGCTGGCTGCGTTTTCAATACCAGCACAGGTTGCCTTTAATTAACCGTGAATGCACTGAGTCATTATTTGCAAGCTGTCAGCACAAGCACAAATTGAGAGAAAAATCTATCCCTTCACAAACCCACCTTGACTCTCAAGGCTTCAGAGAGGAAAGTCCAGGCCTTGAACCAGACCTGGGAGCAAAATGGCAATGTGTCATCATAAAAACATGAAACATTCTGAGAGTTCATTCGTTTCCTTGGTTTTGCATATTAAACTAATATACATTTTATGGCACTGCATGAACATAATTCACATTCATCTTTCCCACAGATCCACGAAACATGCTCTGAAATGCTGCTCTGAGAGCCTCGTCTCCTCCTCCCAATCTGTCGGATGTGGTTAAAACACAGACCGAGTCCGTAAATACAGTTGTTGCTCCATGTATTTTTTTAATCACTCAGACAGGTCACTGTCCAGGAAAGAGCAGCTGGAGTCACAGCTGCAGAACTCTCACTGATGTGACACCACATCATCATACTCGAGAGCAGAAGAGTTCTCTGGAGGAGGAAATCACTTCAGGGTGATAATTGAGCGGGGCTCCAGCAGACTTCTGGCATCTGAGGGGTTTTGTGCTTGGCAAGGTAAAGAGAAAAAAAAGCAAAGGCTCCCACCCAGGACTAACAGAGAGATTGTCAACACAAAATATATGAAATGCATAAAGGTATAAAGCTGAAAGGGAGATAGCAAGTCTTGAAAGGCCCAACTTGCTGCTAGTGTAAGGGGAGTTACTCGACAATCTTTTAAGGAGATTTATACCTCTTTCACCAGGAGGCAGGTTGGCTCACACTTACATACAGTATCAGCCAATTAGAACAAACAAAGATAACACCTGAAATTGGGATTTCTTCAATGTTGCAGCTCCCCTGGGCCCTCCAGCAAAACGTGCAGTTTGCACACAGCATACATATTTACTCCAGATAAAACCACTGCATTTACTTGGAACCAGCCTCTCAGGGATAGACAAAGCAACAGAGAAAATTGGGCTTTTTGCAAGCTTAGTCGTTCACAAAAGGAGAACAGAAGCGCAGTAGTACCTGAGACTCAGACCATGGCTCACAGCAGTCTTGCCAGCAGGTTGCTGGAACTTCGGCATGCAAAAAGCCACGCTGACCTCCAGCTCTACAGAGCCGCAGGCACCTCCCGGTCTTCCCTCCATCACGGGAAGAAAGGACCCCTCCCGCCCTTTCCTTTTAAGCTTGTAAAGCCCCGGGTCAAGTTGCCCCTTAACCCCTTCCTGGCTGCTTAGCAGCTCTGCCTTCTCAGTCAGGGAGGCTTCCAAGGCACATAAAGGTGGATTCTTCATGACTGCACTTTTTGGGGTACGGTCCTGGCTGGTATAACCAAAATTCAGAGGTTCTACCTGCTTCACGTTGGGGGTTTGAGCTGAGTTCTCCCAAGAACTGAGGCTAGTATTGGTTGTACGTGGTCCTGTCCCTGCATGGCAGAGGAGGAAGGCTGCTGTTCTCTCCCTTGCAAGGTAAGCCCAGGCCGTGGTCAGACAGTCTGCAATTTCATTGCAGCACAGACAGAAGCAGGAGGTGCAGCTGCAACAAACTCACTGACCTAATCCACGTTCACAGCCATGCTGCAACATAATACCTGGCAACTAGGGCTGAAGATAGCAGCAGATTAATTACAAGACAAGAGGGATCTACACCAACTCACCATTTCCCGATGCAAAAGAGCAAACACTGCTAAGACTACTTAGCTTTGTTTAACTGGAGAACAAGGGAAACCAAAGAAAAAGTTAACCTATGTGGAATGAAATCCTCCTGGGACCCTGACTTGAGGACAGTATGTGGCATAGGAATGGGAGGGGTACAGAGAGAGAACAGAAGCAATGAATTGTGTGTTGAGCCTTTTGTCTCAAGGGACTCTGGTTGTCACTATTTCTACAAGACTGTGGCATCCTTTTCTGCTTATCCCTTGTCAGCACTGAGTTGGGACTTAATATTTCAACATCCAACAGATACGGACACATGCTCTGCAGGTCTTTTGCAGCAAAGGTTTGTATACAGCCAGAAATGCCTATGATATGCTATTGCAATACTACTTCTTTCAACCAAGACTGAGAAACTGATTTAGAGACAGAAAGCACAGAGGGATGGAAGAGCAGAAGAAAGAACACGGAAGCCTGTTTAGCAAGCACAGCATCGTGCCAATGCTTCTTTCTCCCATCTCACACCACCCATAGGTACCTGGCTGCAAACTACAGCTGATGCACGTTGGGCACGTACACAGCAGGGCTGGCTCCTCAGCCAAAGGGGGCAATTGAGCCTGGGGAGCTGCGCTCACCACGTGTCCCTTGTCAGCCTGCACATTGGTGAGACAGCTCCCCATGCTCTGCCACCATTTTTTTTTCCACTTGTTTAAGAGCATATTTATTTCTTGGAAAGCTCTAAACATCAGATGGAGCTAATTAAAACCAGGAGGGCTTAGGGGAGCTGGAGGGAAGAGGGAGACGTGCCGTTTGATTTCCACTTCAAAGTGGTTTAACAAAATAAAAGCACTCAGGCCCTCCAACCCAAGTGTGTGCCCATGGGGAGGGGAGAGAAGGGGACATTCAGTACTTTCAAGTGCCCACTACCCCCCAGTTTTGCTCACCAGGCTCAGAGGAGCTGTGTCTGGATGCTGTGCCAGCTGATTAGTCAGTGCATCAGAGGTTAATTGCAGCAATTTGTCCTGTGCATTCCCATCAATTTTGCAGAGGGTGGCAGTGCACAAGGAGGAGGTGGCATGAGCTGTCCCAGGCACCAGCCTCCCATAGTCAGCAGGCTCTGGGAACACCTTCAGACAAGACAAACAGCTGCTGTTGCAAGGTTTCTGAGTGAGCATAAGGAAACAGAGCTGCTGAGCAGCCAGCCACAGCCAGGGCCCAAGCGTTTGAGGGCAGGGCTCTGTGGGATAGGGCTTCATCCCAACACAGAGGGAGGCTTTGCAGGTAACCCTGCTGCCCCACAAACACAACAGCTCAGCTCTGCCACAGCCCTCCCATCAGCCCTGTGGCACTCAGGCCCACAGTGCAGCGTGCCTGCATGTCCCCAGCTTGGGGAAATGAAGCTCCCCAGGCCTTGCCCTCTGTACAGCACCAGCCCACACATCACCAAACCCCAACACAGCCCCGCCATGGCTCCCCAACCCCACAGCACTCCTTCCTTTCATGACTCTCCCAGCCCCTCAGGACTGTCTTGACCCCCCAGAGCTCTCCTACATCTCCCCCTCTTAGAGCTGCAGCCCTCCATATACCTTCACTCTGTCAGGACAGAAAGCACAGTGGAACACCCTTCATTCCCCTCACCTTATTTATCACCCTTATTCAGCGTTATTTAGCATTATTCTCACTCATCAGCTTCCAGGACTGGCTGGCAAACCCACCCCCAGCCAGAGCCCATGGGGAAGGAGGCCCAAGTCCCATCCATCCCCACCACCTATACCTGCTTCTATTTCTTCTTCCCCAGTTTGGCTGGGGAAATGGGAACGGAAGGAGTCAGTAAACATTAATTCTGAAAATAAATAAGGAAGGAATTGGCAGCTTGCAAGTGGCAGTGGATAAAGCACCCTATGATGGCACCATAAAACGTCTCTCCACACACCATTTATCACCAAGCTAGTCTGAGTTAGCATCAAGCCTGATTTACTTAATATTAAAAGACATAAACAAGAGTATGCAAATTTGGGAAGAAGAGTTTCAATTGCAGCTAAGATTTTAATGAGCTAACACGCACGTGCTTGCTGTTTTCTCTCATTTAGTGGGCTTTCGGCTAGGCTGAACTGCTGAAGATGAACAGTTTGGATCTCTCCTATCCCTGGCTGCTAGTAGTGGCTACAGAGCCCAAAGATCCCTGGAGAGCTGAGTGCTAGGATGCGTTCTCCTGCCCAGAGGTGGCTGCAGCCTCCTGGACGTGCTTGTCTGTACCGCCAGCACTGCGGCTGTGGCACTGCTGGATGAAGGGAAGCTTTCTCTGTCTCTGTCAACCACAGAGAGCATTGTGAGCAACAAATTGCAGCCCCGTCGGAGCCTCCTTGGCCACAGCACAAGAAGTGAGGATGCTTACCCTGGAGTAAAGCTGAGTGGGTTTTATTCAGTCGCTTTTCTTTTTAAAAGTTTGTAATGCACTGCCCAAGACATAGTGCAAGCTCTGTATGAGACATGAATAACATTCACTCATGTGACTGTTTGTACAACCAAGGGCATTACAGGTCAGGCTGAGAAGTGTTGTAAGAATGATGCAAGGCCCCCAGCCTAGCCAAGCAGGGCGCATGGCACAGGGAGATAAAGAGTCATTCAGAGGCTGTGTGGGGTCCAGCACACAGTAGCCAAAGGCCCAGCAGGTCACTATTCTGTGCTTATTCTTGAGGCTGCCTGTGGGGAAACGCAGCTCTTTTCAGGCTGCACAGAATGTCACCGTCAAACTCACCTTTGGGAGCAGGACTAAGACCCCCATCAGCCTCACAGAGACAACAAGTACATCTCACAGAGATGCAACCAAAAGAAACTACGTGATGCATGTGGCAGGGAAAACAGCTAAACCTTCTCTCAAGCTTTAGCTAGCCACACAATGTCTTGTGCTTCAACATCTCTGCTGTACCCCATTGCATCTGCTGCTTCACAGTGCACCATGCAGGGCTCAGACTCTGCTGCATCGCATATGTTCACCTCCACAGCTTTCTCCAGGCCGGCAATCAGCATCCTCAGCAGCTCCTATTTACCTGCTCTTTCCTTAGTATCAAGCGCCATGTGGAGAGAACGCCAGTGAAGACAGAAATGCATTTGGGTTTATTCCAGTTTTGACACAGAGCCTACATCAAATACCAGTTGTTCTGCTTGTAACTCACATTTAAGCAGAGGAGCTGTAAGTTGCTTTTCCCTTCTTCTGCTGACACATTTCAGTGCACACATTCAGAGGTCAACATTCTGCTTAATACACTGGTAAATAAAAACCCAGCCACAGTACACACAGTGCAGTGCAGGGGCTGTTTTTCCCTGGTACAAGTCCCTAAGAGTAACTGCATGGACTCCCTCCCTTTTTTTCTTTCCTCCCCATCCCAGTCCATCAGCTCCTGCTGCCACCCCATCACCCTTAGCCTGCACTTTGACACCAGTCCCCATTTCCCTTCCCTTTGCATTTCTATGTACAGTGTTGTTCTGGTAACCCAATCCACCTCAACAAAAATCACTTGGCTTTTTTTTTTCTTTTTTTTTTTTTTGGGGGGGGGGGGGGGGGGGGGGGGAGGGGGGATGGGGTTGTTCTTAATTTATGTGGGGTCAACCTCATAATTGTGTCCCTCTTTTCATCCCTTCCTCCATATAAATCATGTATGTGACATTTTAGCGGAACGCCAGCAAATTGAGCATGATGTTCTTATCACCAGCTTAATAATAATTCCAAGAAGCCTTGCACCACTGCCCCCCAGGATCAAGTGGAAGCAAAATAAGGCCATCCCTATGCAGCAGATCTCCTCTTAGCAAGGCTGGTACACCACACAGCACTGCATTCAAGAGCTGTTCTTTCACTTAAAGTTCTATTTAGACTTTGAGCTGCTGAAATGCCCATGATAGGCAGAGCAGATGCTACAGCTTGGAGAAGCCTTTGCACACAGTGCCCAGGCTTCACCTATCACATAACCACTGTGGCAGGTTGTTGTCCCTGGTACCTGCACACCCCAACCTGCATCCCTGTGCAGGGCTGTACTAGTCTGCTGGCAGACCCCAGCCACTCCTTTCCAGCCAGAACAGCCAAACGAGGCTGTCTCAGTCTGTCACTGTCAGGGAACAGGCATAAGAGCAGCTCACCGGTAGCAAAAAGGGAATGATGAAGAGGCACAGCTCATCCCAGCACAGCTGCAGTTGGGAAAGGACAGCTTGTGTGTCTGCATACTCCAAGAGATACTGCGTGCCTCCTGCTCTCCTTAGGCATTGTTTCTGGAGGTGAAGTGACCTACTGATGGAAATGAGACAGATTTGATTGATTATTCAGTGGGAGCTGGGCTACAAAAGTTGAATCTCTACCAGTGTAGCTGTCAGCAAAGCCAGAGCCACGTATCAGCTGGGTGAAACGGTCTAAGGTCATTTTAAACAGCTTCTGCAGATTTAAAGCACATCATGAGTAGAGGGAATGTTCCGGCTCTCCAACTGTCAGAGTTCACTTAACCCAGACTCTGTTTGAGGGCTCCTGACTCCCCCTCTATGTGCAACATGAGAGGCCAAAGCCTTCCACCTACAGCCCACAGCCACTGGGAGGATTTTCCAGGTTGCCCTAAGGCACGCACGTGCTCTGATGTGCCCTATAGGAGCTGAGAGCGGGCAAGGAAGACAACTCCTCACAGGTCCAACATTCCCCACATCACTTTTCAGGAGCCAGATGGACTCCTGCACAGCAGTGAGAGTTACCCCCAGCACGTGGGCTTGTGGCACTGCTCAGCTGTGCACTGCACCCACTGCTGGTCCATGAACTTCAGATGGCCCGTGAGCACACAGCCACCAAACCACACGCTTCCTCTTCCGTGCTGTGGAAAGGAAGGGCCTGCTCCTAGTTACTTTCTGTTCCCAATTAAGAAGCTTGACATTATAAAGAGTAAATTATGGTTTAACAGAACAATGGGAACATATTTACTAAAGTGTTAAGTACTTTATCACCCTGTCTCCAAGCCATCAGAGTTATGTGTGGTGTTTTGTTTTTTTTTTTAAACTTTTGTTTCTTCAGACTTACGTGATCCTTAAAAAAAAACAAAATCTGAGAATTTCTGGGGCCCTGCCTGGGGCACGGACGAGCGTGAAGGAGGAATAAAGCCATGCCATGGAAAACAAAACAAAACAAAAGAAATTCCTCTTCCCTCCTATGGCATTTCCAACCTCAGGCCTGGAAAGCTTGCATTGCCAGAACGTTTGCCATTAATACAAGACTTCATCTTTACACAAACTATCATTGTCTGCCATTTTAACTGTGTCATCACTCAACCGTTTCAGAACCATTTGTTCGAAAAGCTGCTTTTGTTTATTTGATTTTCTGGAAGATGGCATTGCTTCATTGCGATCCCCTTCTATCCACGCTTCTGCACAAAGAATTAAAAGAAGGAAAAGGAATAGAGTCAGACTTACATCTGAATGAGTGTTTTAACTTGAAATGCCCAAAAAGATGGAAAAAAAAACCATTTAGCTCTTTTTTCCTTCCTTTTTTCTTATGTTTTGCTTATCTAAACTGTGCGTGCTTCACACCACACCTGCACAAAACTATCATACCCCCAGTAAGATCCCATATAGATGCAAACTAAACAGAGCCAGGGCACAGGCCTGAATGTGAGCTCACAATCTATAGAGTTGGATTGCTTTTGACATTCCTCACCACAGGTCTGCCCGTGCCCACCAGCACCCTCCCTAACCGAGTCTGGGCATGGATCAGAGCAGAGCATGGGCCAGAAGCAGCATAGGCACAGCTTTATCAGCAGCACAGCTGAGCCCTGGGGCAAAGAGAGCTCACAGTGGACTTCATATCTCTGGCAGCCCTTGGACAAGTTTTGCAATTGAGACCGAAGGAGAATCGAGGCCAGCACCTTCTTGGGTGGCTGCAGGAGCTCATTCTTGGCCTCTGAGCTGCTGATGCATCTGAGTGCTGCCAGTCCCCGGGCGTAACAGCACACCTTGCCCATATGTTGCTGCTGACATGTACCAGTGTGCAAACTGCATGGCAAGGGAGAGCACTGCATGCATTACAAATGAGGTGGAAAAGAAACCAGAACCCACCACTGGATTCTTGTAGCCCTCTGCTAATTAGGTGA